CGGCCGTGAAAGCCTTCGTGAATACAATAGAAAGAAAATTTAAAAATTGGAAAAGAAAAATTCCAAGCTCCAGGACCATGATAGCTATGATCCTACGGATACAGTGATCACAAAGCCCCATGGGCTGCAAAGAATTAATGGCTGGCAGGCCAGGAGGAGAATGTAACATTACTTTGGGGGAAATTAAGAGAAATGTTTGGAAGACCAACCCGGTCTTAAGTTGCCTTCTGAGACGTGGGAGGGATGGGGCCAGCCACACTTTGGGCGAAGAGAATCGCAGAGCGAGGCGACCACCATAAAGAGGACCGGATTATGGGATGAAAGGTGGAGTCAACTTTGAGTCAATCGCCTGAGCCCATTAGGATTGAAGCCAGGTCTTGAGCGGAGACTTGACTGCAGTACTCCCGCAAGGCTCCGCCACAGGTTCAACACCCTGACCCTTGTCCACGGCTTTGGGTTGTGAAGTCAACTGCCCTTTTGTCCAGTCTGAGCACTAGGCCACCCTGCCCGGCAGCTCCACCTTGGCTGGCCGAGTGGAAGGGGAGGTTCCTTCTTTTCTCAAAGAGAAAAAAGGGACACCAGAGACAGAAACAACCAAATAACCCAAGCAGTGCAGTTGGAGTAGGATGAGACCCTTGGGTCATTTCTTCCTTGCATCCCTTTTTCCCCTCCTGCATGACTGCTAGGCCATATGGTCACTCTGCCAGGACTCTGTGGATGTAAGAACAGTCCCCAATAGTAGCCTCCCCTCCTTGCTTTTCCTGACTTTTCAGAAGTGTGTGTGGGGGGGAAGAGCCAAACCAAGGCACCCATCAAGGTCAACAACAACAACAATAAAAATTAGCCAGCAGCCCTCTGAGCCTATGCTGGTTCCCACTGGAAAGCCATTGAAATGAGGCATTCCGCCATTAATTCTGCTCCTCTACATTTGTCTTGCCGACAAAGGTCCGCATAGTCAAAGCTATGGTTTTTCCAGTAACGATGTATGGAAGTGAGAGCTGGACTATAAAGAAGGCTGACCGCCGAAGAATTGATGCTTTCGAATTGCGGTGCTGGAGGAGGCTCTTGAGAGTCCCCTGAACTGCAAGGAGAACAAACCTATCCATCCTGAAGGAAATGCACCCTTTGTGCTCACTGGAAGGACAGATCCTGAAGCTGAAGCTCCAAGATTTTGGCCATCTCATGAGAAGAGAAAACTCCCTGGAAAAGACCCTAATGTTGGGAAAGTGTGAAACGAAGAGGAGAAGGGGACGACAGAGGACGAGATGGATGGACAGGGTCATCGAAACGACCAACATGAATTTGACCAAAATCTGGGAGGCAGTGGGCCTGGTGTGCTCTGATCCATGCGGTCACGAAGGGTCAGACATGACTTAACAATAATACAGTTGTCTTTGGGGGAAGATCCCTTTTCATTGCACGAAACAGTCAGAGGTCTTCCTGTTCTGTGTCATCGAACAATTCAATGTGGATTACTGTTATCCACACAAAGCAGTGGAGAAATAAAACAGAAGGTCTTCCCGGATCACAGGGAAGACTTATTTTATTTCATCCACCAGCTGCTCTTCCTTAGAAGAGGCATCACGGAGGGACACCAAGATCTGCCTCAGGCTAATAACCATGACAAGGGCTGCCAACCCAGGGAGAAAACAGGTGTAAACACCAGATCTGGAGTCTTTTCCTTCCCTTTTCTCCCCCAGCAGTCACAAGGAAAACCCAGCGGGGACAGTGAGTCTTAAATTGCAGGGAATCCTACATTAAGCTTCCTGGTGATCCTGGGCCAGCGACTCTCACAACAGCAGGAGCTTCAAGGGTGACCCTCTCAAAACCCCCAAGTCATATTTTTACAAGGGCAGAGCCTTCCCTGTCCTGTCAAATGTCATTTCTACGCCCACCCCCCTTCCCCAACACAGACTCACCTGCCTCCTCTTAGCTCTTGGCACCAATTCTGAACTGTTTCCCCATTCCAGGCATTTTAGCTCATTCTCGCCCATTCCTTAAAGAAATATTTCAGCCTCCGTTGTTCTCTCTTTACCCACAAAGGCACACCTGTTTCCCCCCCCCTTTAATCACCAAGGCTAACAAAGAGTTTTGGAGAACTCCAAAGCTTGTTGGTAAGGGCTGGAATTCCAGTAGATCATCTGGCACAGGAGAATCCCCCTTGTCCCTAGAAGGGGGATCTCGACCCACACAGACCACAGATCTCCTCCGTCCAGAATATTCCCAAGTAGGAGACCGACCAAAACAAACAAACAAAGGCCCACCTTGAAGAGTGGAGCAGGCAATTTGAACACAGGAACGCACAAAAAAGGACTACCTCCCAGCTCCCTGGGAGGTGGGCTATCTATCTATCTATCTATCTATCTATCTATCTATCTATCTATCTATCCATCCATCCATCCATCCATCCATCCATCCATCCGTCCGTCCGTCCGTCCGTCCATCCATCCATCCATCCATCCATCCATCCATCCTTTTTTTCTTATCTCCCCCCTCCCTCCCCTAATTTAGCAGGATTTCCTCAGGAGAAGGAAGAAAGGTGTAGCCAGGGAATAAAACAGAAGGAAAAGCTTTAAAGCCCACTTTCTGGATGAAAAGCCCCTTATGAAC